CGGCAGCGGGAATCGCGCTGGCTGGAGGACTGGTGATCCGAGTGGTGAAGGAGAAAGTTCGGTCCGCTTCGGAAAACAGCTTCACTGAACGCAGCTCCTACGAGGTCCACTGGAACAAGTGAGCGATGCAGACACAGCGTTTGGAGCGCAGTGCTAATGTTTACGATTGCACTGCATTGCGTTACGAGCGCTGTGAGAAATTATACGGAGCACAATCAGCTCTAATTTTCACTGCAGTGAATGAATTACTAAACATTTATTAAACATAAAGCTTATTTTTATGTGTTTGGAATTTTTTACCAGTTTTTACTTGTTAAAATACCTGCGCAGTCGCATTCAGTTACGAGGCTCATTTACAGTTAAACATGCTGTGTATTGAACAAACGTTTAGTGCTCTTAAAGCTGACCTGCTCAGTATTGCTGTGTGTTTAAATGGATCCTGACGTGTGTGTGATGATTGAGTTTGGACTGGTTTCGTGAGATCAGTACATGTGTGAGTTTCACTGAACACTGTGTGTTTGTTTTCTGAAGCTGTCGAACAAAAATAAACACATATGAATTATCCCAGACTTGTTTTGATTTATGATACCAGCACTTTAGTCTCAAACATCTGCTATTATTTCATCAATCAAAGCCATACGTATGTTTAATGTGACATTATAATGAGATTTATGTTTGTTATTTACAGTAACTACTGAGGAAACGCAAAGTAATTTTTTTCATTATTATTACAGAATATTAGTTATATTTCACATTTATAAGAGAACAGTTAGAATAGCTGAGTTTAACTTAATCAAATGATTAAACATTAAAATATTTAAAGATATACTTTTATATTTAATACAATAAATATAATATATGTTAAGTAATAAATGTAATACAAATGCTTTATTTTACTATCAGAAACCATATATTTAATATTGTTATAACACAGAAAACAACCTAGAATCTAAGTTATAGTATGAATTCTTATAAAATAGGTAATCTGTTACTAATATTAACAATAAAAATTATCTTCCAAATGTCAACATTCATGTCCCGTTGAAGGACTTTTATTGTTTGCATTGTATGTTATCAAATTGACATTGTGTTTTATGATTAGTTGTCACAAGATTAAAAAAATATATGCATGCAGGGAATAGCATACTTAAAATAGGAACTAGTTGTTTAATAACTTTTCCTAATCTGACAACTGATTACAAAACAAGATGCTAGTTTGATAGCATAACGATACAAACATTTGAAGTGATGATGATGTAACTTCAACAACAAAGACACTCTTCTTCAGTCATATTTACATATTCTTCTGACCGCCCTCCAACTGCTTATTAAATATTCATTAGCAGGCTCCATTCACTCGGAGCGTCCTGGGCGGGGTTTACTCAGAGGGGCGGGTCAAATGCAAATGACCGAAGCGCCTCTACTCATCGACGTACAATCAGGCCACGCTCAAGCGAGCGCTCTGATTGGTCGACAGCGCCACAGCCGAGCACTGTTTGCGGATGACGTCAGTGCCGGAGCGCAAGATGGCCGCGTTCGGTCGGTAAAGCGCTCGAGCGACACCGGAACCGAGTCCGTGATTCCGAGAGGCGAGCAACGCGACGGAGACACGCGAGGATGGACGCCGCCGAGTTCATGGAGACTATGGACCCGAGCCTGTCCGAGCTGGGCGACGAGTTCACGCTGGGGGACATCGACGGTGAGCGAGGAAGATGAAGATGATGATGATGCTCATAAACAACATAAATAAACAACACCGATATGCTGCATGTGTGTTTATGATCGTGCAGCTCACTGAGCGTGTTTGATCTGATCAGAGTTCGGTGTTATTATGTGCTCAGCTGTCTATAGAAGCCATCCTTATAAACTCATAATACATTGTTATTATGAATATTATCTCATAATACATTCAGTAATCAGCTTCAGCTTAGAGAGTTAAGTTTAGTGTGTTATAGGTAGAGAAACTAGAGTAGGTTTAGTGTGGACTGACTGTAATGATGACACACTTCTGTCCGCTAGCATGTGATTCATCACGGTGTTGATATTGTTAGTGTTGTTATTGGTGTCTTTATTGTTGTTATTAGTGCTATTTAGTGGAATTGTTGTTAGCGTTGTTATTAGTGGTCGCTTTATTAGTGTTATTAGTAGTGTTGGTGTTGTGTTATTAGAGTTTTAGTAGTGTTATTTTTGCTGTTATTGGTGTTACTAATGTTATTGGTGTTATTGTTAGTCTGAGTGTTGTTGCTATTGGTGTTTTTAGTAGTGCTAATAGTGTTGTTATTGGTGTTTCTAATGTTATTGGTGTTTGTTATTGTTAGTCTGAGTGTTGTTGTTATTGGTGTTATTAGAATTGTAGTAGTGTTAATAGTGTTGTTATTGGTGTTTCTAATGTTATTGGTATTATTGTTAGCCTGAGTGTTGTTGTTATTGGTGTTATTAGAGTTTTAGTAGTGTTATTTTTGCTGTTATTGGTGTTATTAGAGTTTTAGTAGTGTTATTTTTGCTGTTATTGGTGTTATTAGAGTTTTAGTAGTGTTATTTTTGCTGTTATTGGTGTTATTAGAGTTTTAGTAGTGTTATTTTTGCTGTTATTGGTGTTATTAGAGTTTTAGTAGTGTTATTTTTGCTGTTATTGGTGTTATTAGAGTTTTAGTAGTGTTATTTTTGCTGTTATTGGTGTTATTAGAGTTTTAGTAGTGTTATTTTTGCTGTTATTGGTGTTATTAGAGTTTTAGTAGTGTTATTTTTGCTGTTATTGGTGTTATTAGAGTTTTAGTAGTGTTATTTTTGCTGTTATTGGTGTTATTAGAGTTTTAGTAGTGTTATTTTTGCTGTTATTGGTGTTATTAGAGTTTTAGTAGTGTTATTTTTGCTGTTATTGGTGTTATTAGAGTTTTAGTAGTGTTATTTTTGCTGTTATTGGTGTTATTAGAGTTTTAGTAGTGTTATTTTTGCTGTTATTGGTGTTATTAGAGTTTTAGTAGTGTTATTTTTGCTGTTATTGGTGTTATTAGAGTTTTAGTAGTGTTATTTTTGCTGTTATTGGTGTTATTAGAGTTTTAGTAGTGTTATTTTTGCTGTTATTGGTGTTATTAGAGTTTTAGTAGTGTTATTTTTGCTGTTATTGGTGTTATTAGAGTTTTAGTAGTGTTATTTTTGCTGTTATTGGTGTTATTAGAGTTTTAGTAGTGTTATTTTTGCTGTTATTGGTGTTATTAGAGTTTTAGTAGTGTTATTTTTGCTGTTATTGGTGTTATTAGAGTTTTAGTAGTGTTATTTTTGCTGTTATTGGTGTTATTAGAGTTTTAGTAGTGTTATTTTTGCTGTTATTGGTGTTATTAGAGTTTTAGTAGTGTTATTTTTGCTGTTATTGGTGTTATTAGAGTTTTAGTAGTGTTATTTTTGCTGTTATTGGTGTTATTAGAGTTTTAGTAGTGTTATTTTTGCTGTTATTGGTGTTATTAGAGTTTTAGTAGTGTTATTTTTGCTGTTATTGGTGTTATTAGAGTTTTAGTAGTGTTAATAGTGTTGTTATTGGTGTTTCTAATGTTATTGGTGTTTGTTATTGGTGTTTCTAATGTTATTGGTGTTTGTTATTGTTAGTCTGAGTGTTGTTGTTATTGGTGTTATTAGAGTTTTAGTAGTGTTATTTTTGCTGTTATTGGTGTTACTAATGTTATTGGTGTTATTGTTAGTCTGAGTGTTGTTGCTATTGGTGTTTTTAGTAGTGTTATTTGTGCTGTTATTGGTGTTATTAGAGTTTTAGTAGTGTTAATAGTGTTGTTATTGGTGTTTCTAATGTTATTGGTATTATTGTTAGTCTGAGTGTTGTTGTTATTGGTGTTATTAGAGTTTTAGTAGTGTTAATAGTGTTGTTATTGGTGTTATTAGAGTTTTAGTAGTGTTAATAGTGTTGTTATTGGTGTTTCTAATGTTATTGGTATTATTGTTAGTCTGAGTGTTGTTGTTATTGGTGTTATTAGAGTTTTAGTAGTGTTAATAGTGCTGTTATTAGTGTTTTAGTAGTGTTATTTGTGCTGTTATTGGTGTTACTAATGTTATTGGTGTTTGTTATTGTTAGTCTGAGTGTTGTTGGTATTGGTGTTCATAGTGTTGTTGTTGTTGTGAGCGGTTGTGTCAGTCATACAGCAGCTCAAACACACATGCTGACGGTCCGTCAGTCGTCAGATGAAATCTCAATAATTCAGACAAACACAAACCAGAGAGCTGTGATCGATCTGTGAACCATCCGTTCTGTGTCTCACAGTGATCCTCTCTGTCAACACATGAGAGCTACACACAGACAGACAGTTAGTCTAGTGATGTCCAACCCACCATCTCATATAGAATGCAATGATGAGTACGGGATTTTGCATTTGTGATAAAGCGTAATGAAGCATGGTACACTGGATCAAGGCTTGTTAAGATAATAACCATAATAACCATAATCATACACAGTTAGGAAGGTAGCTTCTACAAGTTTCTTTTTGGCATCAAAACTAAAATTATTTGTGTAATAATTTTTAAGTGTTTATAAATTAGAGTCGTGGGATTCTCAGATCCTGCAGGACTGAGAGTCTGGCGTTGATCTTCAGCAGTGTGATGATCATGTGCGTTTGACCGTCTGATGATCCTCCGCTCTTCTGGAAGATTCTGGATCTCCAACAGTGAAGAGCACGTTACATAACGAGCATTAGCAGCTCATCAGTGTGTGTGTGTCAGATCTGAAACTGATCTTCATTATTCAGTCGTATCTGAATCAGGTTTAAGATGTGTTTTCCTGTGGTTTCGTGGTGAAATAGGTCACTGTCGTGGTATTACTGGTTGGTTTGGTCCAGTGCAAGCGGACTCTGGTTTAATCTGCCGCAGGTGTGACTGTATCAGTCATTATTACTGTAATTACACCATAAACCAGTCAAACCGACACACCGGTGTCTGATACGAGTGTGTGTTATCAGTCTTTATCACTCAGCTCTGACCTTTATTTTATTATCACAGGTCAAAAGGTCAGGGTCAGGACTGTGTTATTTGCTGCCAGACATCAGTTGACCTTTTTCTAAGCCCCACCCCCTTTCAGCTTTATACAGCGTTTTGTAATAATAAACTGGATGTCCGTGAGTATGATTATCAGTGGTTTGTGATGCGACGTGATGAACTCTTGATTGCTGCTGTTTTGTAGGTCAGTGTGTTTGATTGACCCTGACGGGATCTGCTCATCAACACACCGCTGGAGTTATTAATCTCGGTCATATTCAGACGTTAATTTTCACATCTGTGTGTGTTTGTGTGTGTCATTCAGAGATGCTGCAGTTCGTCAGTAATCAGGTGGATTTCCCAGATCTCTTTGAGGATCAGATGGGGGGTGGTGCCGTGGCTCCCGTGAAGCCCCTCCCACAGATGGCCCCCAGCGCCATACTGACACCCCCACACACACCCGTACAGACCAGCAGCCAGATGCAGATACAGATGAAAACACAGACACGCACACCGCCGCTGCTGCAGCCACGACCGCAGCCCATCACACAGGTGAGCCTGACCACACCTCTTACACGACAGCACCTCACATTGACACGCCCCTCACTCTCTGACCACACCCCTTACACATGACAACACAAATCATCACACGCAGCCAATCACACGGGTAAGCCTGACCACACCCCTCACTCTCTGACCACACCCCCTTACACATGATAACACCTCACATTGGCACGCCCCTCACTCTCTGACCACACATCCTTACACTCTAATCAAACCATCATACACAGCCGATCACACAGGTAAGGCTGACCACACCCCTCACTCTCTGACCACACCCCCTTACACATGACAACACCTCACATTGACACGCCCCTCACTCTCTGACCACACCTCCTTACACTCTAAACACAAATCATCACACACAGCCAATCACATGGGTAATCCTGACCACACCCCTCACTCTCTGACCACACCCCCTTACACATGACAACACCTCACATTG